AACATATTTAAGACGTCCCGAAACTCATAAACGTATTTATAACATGGAGAAAACACGTAGAACAAATGCACTCGCGTAGGTGCTTGTAAGTGGACAGGAAAACCGACACAAAAGATTGTTTTCAATTCTCCTCGAAGTTTATTACCTCTTCTGTAGACAACTACAAACGTGCAAGCGATCTGTGAACACTATACAGGTAGACTTTCGGGGAAATTATTCTCCTGGCTGCCGCGCGAATAGGCGCTGCATAATTCTTTAGATAATTTAGAAGAGTACGCGTAGAAGAACGCTCAATCGTTGCCAACACGTAGGTTGCAGTGCACTTACCATAACAATAGCGGACTTGAAAGAGGTAATCCGTGATATTTGTCGACACGGTCAAAGCAGGACAACCACACAAACACAAACGAGAGGGAACGGCTCCTTGGAAGTTTCAACACGATGCGGCGCACAAGCTGTCATTTGCCGAACCCAACCAAACCGCGAGAATTTGCGACTTCTTTGAAGAATCGCTCGTTGCCGACATACACGTGGGTCTTTTCGAACACTGATAGCTTTGGTGCACATCCAATACGTTGTCGAGAGACATCCCAATAAGACCGCAGGGTTAGGCGGCAGATTGAAGCAGGTAGGACGAGCGAACTTCGAGCAGCAACTGACAACAAGCAGACAAAGAAAAAAGCGGCTGCAAGGCGCGCCCTTCCGGATCTTTATGCTTATCAGCGTGTAGCTCGCGCGCTGCTGTGGGTCACGTGACAGGGGTGACAAGGGAGGAGGGAGGGGGCGAGGTCAAGGCGCTGGGACCACCGGGACAGCCCCTCTCCCTCTCCCCAGGCATTCCAGGGAGATGCGTTTTTGTAACAAAAGGTAAGGGCGCAAACGAGCTGGTGGTGGTTAAACATTTCACAAAAACCCCGAGACTGGGACAAAAAGGGACGGACAAACACAAAGACTTTGTGTTTGTCCGTCCCTTTTTGTCCCAGTCTCGGGGTTTTTGTGAAGCGTTTTTGTAGTCCCGAAGAACAAACGCGCGCGCGCGCGCGCGCTCAAACTTTGGAAATGGCGGCGGGGCTGCCAGAAGCTCGGCTTGCGCCCGAGCGAAGAAAGAACTCAGCGCAAGCTCGTAGTTTGAGTGCTGCAACGGCGGGCCTGCTCTCGCAATGCTCGATGTTCTTGCAGCCGCGTGTACGCGTGCTACCTTCGCTGCGTCTTGAATTAAAGTGAAACGGAGTCTAGACGTACATTTTTTCACGCGGTCGCGTCTTCTGCGCGAGAGATTCGAGCTGAATAAGTAAATTGAGGCAACAAAGAGGGACAAAGTATTAAAGGTCTGTCAAAAATATCGGCTCACCAACGTCGCGCGTTTACGTAAAACAAAAAAAAGGTGTTAGTTTTAGTTGCAGTATAATCGAAAATCAGCGCAATTGAAATATAAATATAATTACTTGCATTACGCGGACGATCTGAAATCGATGAACCGGCGCTCCCAGCCTTCCGGAAAACATTGGCTGCCACGGCTGAAACGCTAGGCGTGCCCACGCCGCCGATCTGTACGTTCAATATCAAACGGGCTCCGGAGAGCCGTTTGATTAAACCGGTGCAGTTTGCAACATGGTCGCCGGTTTGAGCAAACGTGCGACAACTTTGCCCAAACGAGTCGCCCATTTGCCCAGACGAGCGACCCGTTTGCCAAATAGGTGACCGTTATGGCTCATACGGGGGACCCCTTTGAGCCATACGGGCGACCCCTTTGACAAACTGGTGACCAGTATGGTTAAACGGTTACCGGTATGGACCCGTTTATATTCATATAGGCGCCAAATGGTTTTTTTCAGTAGGGCAGCGTTTTAAAGACATGACCTAGCATAGACTTTTATAGAAGTCTCGTTGCGGTAGGAGTGTGGAGACTGATGTCTTACCCATTTCCTAGCTTGATAACTATATAGTTTCCGAACGATTAAGAGACGCAAGGTGTCATTAAATCCCGAGGATCCTATAATCGCTCCGCCGCGATTCAGATTCGGGCAACAACAGACAGGAACTCAGAAGAATGAATCACAAGCAAGGCGCGTGTTTATAATTGAAAACATACGTATTTTCTTTAGCCCTCAGTAACCATAGAAATGTCTAAAACACCTAATGGAGACGATCGCCCCCCCCCCCCCTTCCCCCCTTTACTCCTCCTGTCCCGAAGCCATCGGCGTCCACGCAAACATCACAAGCAAACTAAGGGATACTTCTTCTCCCCCCTCTTTTTTTTTTTGTTCATTGTACGTCTGGCACCGAAAGCGAGTGGCACCAAACAGAGTGTGAGAATTGATAATGATATGAGCCCAGAGAAATCCTACAGAGAGGGCCAAAAGAAGAACAAGCGGGGTGGCGATTGGATTTGTATAAATTTTGCCATGCAGAGGTACGCTTTTGTTTTTTTTGTTAACATCGCAATTACATCCTACCAAGCGCACGTTGTGAACGCTTTATGAACACGACACCATCAGGGACTAATGTCCAAGTACCCATGCAGAGCCATTAATTTACCGGACAATAGAAGTAGTCTGTCTGAGATAACGTTATCATTTTGAAACTAAATAACAGTAACTAAATTGATACAGTGTACAATCACCGAATCATAGATATCAAATAAGATACGGGACAAATTTTCCTTAGAGACTGTAATATTCCCAAGTCGTAACAAAAATAAATTAACTTTCGATGTTTTAGCAATACTGAATTTTAGGAAACTCGTGTTGCCGTAACGCAACTACAATAAACATAACAGTTATCTCCGTGGTTCTCTTTGTATCCAAATTAAAATGATATTGTGCTTACTAGAAGAAGCATAATCCTTCCTATATTTTATAGACAAGTATTTTGCCTGCATTAATAGTCGTATTTGATTAATCTTTACTTTTGCTTTAGCTCACTTCAGTTTTTACTCAGGCAACTAGTGCTTGAAAAGGTAAAGATATATTTTTTTAGTTAATATTTCACGACGACACACTGGGAGATAGGTCTGTTCTCGTGAAAAGCCTTCTCTGCTGAAATCATCAAGAGCCTTGTGCTGAACCTGTGTTTCTTGCAAATTTGCCTTAATAACTTACTGCTCTTACCAAGTTATGTGCTAATAAAAATATTCGTTATAAGTTTGCAATGCTATATTCATTTCAAAGCCCAAATTAATGTTCCTGTCCTGCAGTCACAATTAGAATTTGGCACCTGAGTCATCGGATGTTTTCAGTGCCTGTTCCAGTCAGAATACCGAACGAACCCTTGTACCAGGACATGGATAGTTTTCGTCTGAATTCGCTCTTCACCATGGAGCTGTTCCGGAAAGCGGTCAACTACAAACCAAAGCCCGAAGATAAATTCGTCGTGTCTTCTCCTAAGACTGGTACCACGTTGACGCTGCAAATAGTGTATCTCATTTTCCCCGAAGGCCACCAAGTACCCTGCAGAAATTTTGCAGTAACTGCCCTTTCATCGACTTGAGCGATTTCGGCGATGACAAAGAAAATTTCAAGTCAAGATTGCTCAAAACGTATTTGCCTTCCAATCTTGTACCCAAAAATTCACAGAAAAGTACATCTACATGTGCAGAAACCCAAATGAAACCTGCGTTTCTTACTTCTACCACATACATTGTTTTTCTTGTTAAGATTTCTAGAATTGCAAGTTTGGAGCGTTCTTCGACGTTTTCATGAATGGGGACACCGATTACAGTGGCTAGTTCGATTACGTTTTGTCCTTGTACAACCAATGTAATGACGCAAACATGTTATTCATCAACTATGAGGAGATGAAACAAGACCCGAAGGCATTTGTACTTAAGATTGCGGAATTTCTGAGGGAGGAGCACCACCAGCTTCTTCTTCAGAATGAGAGAATTCCTGAAAACGACCTTCAGTAAAGTGGGATACAGTTCATGAAGAAGGAAGCGAAAGAATTTTTCGATAAATTGTTTGAAGACCCCATTGATAAATCGGCTCCGCCACCCATCACGAAGGGCATCGTGGGATACTGGAGAGGCTACCTCACCGATGAGATGAACGCAAGGATGGAAAATGATACGGATGATACGGACCTGATTGGTGTCTGGGGAAAGTACAGCATCGTGTGACACGGCCAGTTTATCACTTCGAATTTGTCTTTAGATGCTTCATGCATACGGTGTCGTGTTCTTTAAGCGAAATATATAATAAACAAAATTCGAAAATATAACCGAAAGAACCAAGTTCTTATAAGCAAATGAGAGTGTTCTGCATACGTTTACCTAAACGTTCAGGCGTCGTTGTGTATTTCATGGCTTATTTTGTAAACTGTGTATTAGTGTTATATGTTGTATATCGCGTGTCGGTCACCATGTTCGGACATACCACTCATAGCTAAGTGACCACTTCAGTTTGTTTGTGCAACACAAAATGTGATTCGTATTCCAAGTGCAGTGGTTTGCTAACGCTCTACAAAAGTTTACAGTCACTTTTACTTTCTCCATTTTACGCGCCTCAACGCCACCTGTTAGCTCGTAAAGCTGTCACCTCATTTTATATGTCTACACTGCCACAAAACAAGTTTTCTTGTTCGACGCCCACGACGGTAGAGGGAAATAAATTCACTGGATTCTTGGGAAGAAAAGCCAAGCTTCCCTTACGGTCGCCGTTTTGGTTCACTTAATGAGTTGTTTCTTCTTGTCCTCTCCATGTTTGGCGAGTCGGTTTCCATTCCCGGTGGCAAGTTACATTATAGAGGAATTTTGTGTACACCGAAGGGGCGTGGAGCCGGCACGAAGATGTTACTGTCGCTCACGGAATTTCTGCTACTCACACAGGTTTTTTCGCCATGCTGCATCACGGAAGCCGCTTATCGAAGACGACGGCACTGAATCCCAAGTACGTCCACCAGGCAGGCTACAGGGAACCCAAGTGCGACCGCGAGCATCGGTTTCCGACATGCGCCGCCGCTGATTTCGGCCGATGCCACTTACCGGCCTACGACCACTGGCACAGCACCGACGGCTTCGAGGTGAACTACGGGCTATAAAAGGCGGCAACTGTCAGTGCCCAACTGGGGCATGGACCCGGCAGAACGATGTCACTGTCGCTCACACAATTTCTGCTGCTCACGTAGGTTAGTGAATTGTTTGCTTGTAAAAGGTTTACTGTCTTTACACCCCAAGTGCTCTATAGCTGTGTAAGGTCTCATTAGCTTCTGAAGTACTATACACGTCATCGCTTTTTCTTGTTTCGGCGGCTTGCGTTTTATTTTTTTATTGCTTCTACCGTGTGGCGACGTTGAATTAAACCCAGGTCCTGATAATGAGCCGACTCTGCAGATGATTTTGGATGGGAAATTGGAGATTAAGGCCCAAATAAATAACATAGAAACAAAACAAGTTCGCAAGGGGCCACCCTTGAAGATTTAAAATCACGCATTTTATCATTAGAAACTTAGATTGCAATCCTCACGAAGTTGGAGGCGGCCGTGACAGAGTGTAGGAATAGCTGCAACAACCAACAGTGTTCAATGCAGTCCCCTGTGTAAAAGGTTGATAATCTTGATGATTGTAGTAGAAGATTCAATCCTGTGTTTTATAGCATTAAACATCAGAAAACAAATGATTCAGGGGCGTTGTAGGAACAACTAGTTAAAGGACTACGTGAAACAAACCTCGATATTAGGCCTACAACCATTCAAAGAGCTCACAGGATTGAAAAATGTAGTCCACGCAAAACCCGACCTTTCATTGATTCCGAACTTTTCGCCGTTTAAGGGGAAAAATTCAATCCTGGGAAACGCAAAAAAATGTGAAAGGTTTTGGCATCCGTGTATCAGATGATTTCGCTGAAGAGATACTTTGAAAAGGATGTTATCTCTGGGAGTTTTCCAAGAGTCGTAATGATAACGATACGCGGGTTAACCTCAGGCACAACGTTCTTTATCTGAATGATACAAAATACATTTATGATGATAATATCAATCAGGTAGTGCGGTTTAGTGACTGTATGCTGACTCGCCCACTGCAATCTCATTCCTTGTTATTAACTGTCGTAGCATCAAAAATAAAGTTGATTTTTCTTCTCTCGTGGTTGTTATTGGCACATGATCTTGGCTAACTAATGGCGTAACAGACTGCGAGGTATTTCCTGATAAGTTTACATGCTACGGAAAATACAGAAATAGACATGGTAGCGGGGTGTTTATTTGAGTGGACCAGGGGATTTGTTCGAGTAAGATTGAGGTTGAACTAGGACCGTGCGAAGCTGTATGGTGTCAGTTAAGTCTGAAATGGTACAACTTTGGCAGTTTGTTCTTTTTACCGGCCGCCAGCAAATTCAGACGATGTACTAGCCGAGATCACAGCTGCGGCTGAAACGATTAAATATGATATCATTGCGATAGGTGGCGCTTTTAATTTGCCCGACCTTAACTGTCACCAACCAAGCACACACTCTGGAGCATCTCGTGGGCTCACTGCAGTAATGTACAGTTTTATCAACCTGTTTTCGTTGACTATAACAGCGCTAGAGCCCGCTCGAGGGGACCATATACTAGATCTTTTCCTCACAAAGAAAGCGGATTTGGTGCAGACTACTTTAGTAATTCTGTGAATCAGCGATCACAGCGCTGTCCTTTGTGAAATGAAATTGGATCACGTAAAAATGTATAGTGACAGCAGTCGATGCTGATTTTATTACAGTAAAGTTAATATTACCTCGATAAATGCTGAACTAGGTGCATATTTCGTTCTTTTTGAAACGCTTGCTGAATCATGTTCTATACCTGAATTATGGACACTATTTAAGACGAAAGCTTTGGAATTTCAAGACCGCCTTGTTCCCTCTTGGATTTTAACTAAGAGGCGTAATAATAGCAAACCTTGGTTTACAAAACAACTACGGAACTTGACCCATAGAATGCGAAGATTTATCGGGCCTATAAAAACAATCTGTTGCTTGAAAATATCCTAAAACTAAAAATAATAACCAGTAATCTAAAGACGAAAATAGAACTAGCAAAGTCAGTTTTATTCGATTAATTCCAAACTAAAGTTAAAGACAACCCTAAAGGACTTCGGAAATTCATAAAAAGGAAAAAAAAATGTTAACGTATCTATACCTGATCTTGTGAAATGTGACGATATGGTCTCTGATGCTGGTGATAAAACTGAATGTTTTAACGCTTATTTTAGTTTGGTGTTTTCCCTACCTGTTATAAATAACAACACTGCAGACGGCCTCGCTCCGGCAGATGTACCGCCCATGGTAGATGTTGTCACTTGGACATCTCGCAGTATGACAGAACCGCGAGGACCAAACAGACAGGCCGGCTACCAGGGTATGAACGGTTTATTTCGGGCCCGCGTGGAACTATATATAGCGCTCCACGGACCAATGGCAACGCAGTTAATAAAACAAACAAAAGGCGGATAACAGTAAGTCATGCTTCGGTGACTCGGCCGAAGTGATAACAATTCTCCTTCTCTTATAATTGAAGGCGATCAATGGGTTTCCGAGTCCGAGTGGACCGTCGCAGCTGGAACGGCACACAGCTGTCTTCGGGCTCGCTTGAGGTCGTGGCGTCGCCGTACAACTCGTTCGCAGGGCTCTTGGCCGAGGCTGCAGGTACCGCGGCTCGGGCCAACTGGTCAGCAGGGCTCGTGGGAGAGGGTACAGGTACCGCTGAACCGCTGGCGGCTGCGGCTCGGGCCAACTGGTCAGCAGGGCTCCTGGGAGAGGGTGCAGGTACTGCTGAACCGCTGGCGGCGGGTGCCTCGCTGGTTTCCGCCTTGACCTCCCGTAACCGCAGTTGATCGAGATGACGGCGGACGTTGCCTCCGGGAGTAGATACCACAGTCATGCGAGCGCCGTGGTTGCTCTCCACCACCCCGGGCAACCATTTTTCACCTTGCCCGAAGTTCCGGTACCACACGGCAGCATGAGGGCGAATGGTTGGGACCTGTAAGTCAGGCGAGCACACACGTCTTGACGGCACAGCAGTGTCGACGCGCGAGCGTACTTGGAAACCGAGTAAGCGCTCGGCCGGTGATTTCCCGTCCGACAGTGGAGTGCGACGGTAAGACAGCAACACTTTCGCCAACTTCTCTTCCAAATCCCCGGTTGACAACTTGGCTAAGGACTCTTTTACCGTTCTGACCGCCCGCTCTGCCAATCCATTAGATTGTGGGTGATACGGGGCGGTTTTTAAATGCTCCACGTGATTTCGTTCCAGGAACTCGCCAAACTGCTGACTAGTAAACTGAGTCCCGTTGTCTGACACAATCGCACGTGGTAAGCCGAATCGGCTGAACATCTCTCTGAGCTCCCTTATGGTGGCTTCAGTGGTGGCCGAGCGCATTACGCATACTTCGATCCACTTAGTGTGTGAATCCACTACCACCAGCAGCATTTTGTTTTCAATTGGCCCAGCGAAATCAATGTGCAAGCGCGCCCAATTTTCTCCCGTTTCTGGCCAGTTAACAGGCGTGCTTGCTGGAGGCATAGGAGCAGCCTGTGTGCAGTTGTGACAAAGACGAGCCAGTCGTTCTACCTCACCGTCCAATCCGGGCCACCAAAACAACGTCCGGGCTACCCTTTTCATGGCCGTCGCCCCCTGGTGAGCCTCGTGGAGTAGATTGAGCATCTCTTTCTGGGCTGCCCCTGGAATGACGACTCGCTGTCCCCAGTAGAGCAGGTCCTTGACGACAGTCAACTCCTGCCTTCTGCAAAAGTAAGGATGCAGCTCATGCTGTTCTTTGGTTAGAATTTTCGGCCAGCCACGCATTACGAAGCTTTTTACTGTAGTCAGTGTTCTGTCCTCGGCACTGAGCTCTTTTAGCTGCCGTGCCGGCAGGAACGCTTCATCCATGCACTGTATCGCGAACACGTAATCTGGCAGCTCCTCCTCTCGGCTCTCCTCGGTCTGTGGAAGGGGCAATCGGCTGAGGGCGTCCGCGTTCGCGTTGCGTTTCCCGGGGCGAAATTCGATTTTGTACTGGAAGTCGCTGAGTAGAAGGGCCCACCTTTGAATTCTTCCCGATGCCAGCAGAGGTATCGGCCGGTCCTCTCTCAGCAGACCCACCAGGGGTTGGTGGTCGGTGACGAGAACGAACTGTCGACCTAGCAAGTAATCCCTGAACTTGGTCACGGCGAACACCAAGGCGAGTGCCTCTTTCTCTATTTGGGAATAATTTTTTTCTGCTGATGTCAGGCTTCGGGAACGGAAGGCGATCGGTCGGTCGACAGACCCCAATCGGTGCGACAGTACAGCTCCTACTCCTGTTGGCGAGGCATCGCATTCCAGACGGAGTGGTTTACTTGGATCAAAAAAGGTCAACACGGGAGATTTTAGCAATACTGTCTTGGCCTTTTCCACGGAGTCTCGTTGTCTCGGTCCCCATTACCATACTTTATTTTTTTCTAAGAGCTCGTAAAGCGGTGCCAGCAGGGTAGACATATTTGGCAAAAACCGATGATAATACGTCAACAATCCAATAAAGGCCCGGAGCTCGCTGACGTTCGTAGGGCTTGGGGCCTGTCGGATGGCGTCCAGATTCTTCTCGATGGGGTGAAGCCCTTCCTGGTCCACTCTGTGGCCCAAGTAGCAAATTTCACTTTTCCTAAACGTACACTTCGACTGCCGCAGCCGCACACCCATGTCTTGAAATCGTTGCAGCACTGCCCTTAGATTTTCAGTTCCCGGCTGCTCAGCCACCAACACGTCATCCAAGTACACCTGCACTCCTGGCAGGCCGGCCAGCATGGTTTCCATTTTTCTCTGAAAAATGGCCGGAGCCGATGCAACCCCGAACGGCAACCGGTTGTACTGGAAGAGCCCGCGATGTGTATTAATCACCGCCAGTTTTTTTGAATCTTTGTCTAACGGTACCTGGTTATACGCGTCTCGCAGATCTAACGTACTGTACACTGCCCCACCACGCATCGACGCAAAAATGTCTGCTATGCTGGGCAGAGGGTACTGTTCAGTAGCACAGGCAGCATTCACAGTCAACTTAAAATCTCCGCAAATTCTAACGGATCCATCACTTTTCCGCACAGGAACGATCGGCGCCGCCCATTCTGAATGCGTTATTGGAGACAAAACTCCCGTTTGAACAAGACGGTCTAACTCCTCAGAGACCTTATCTCTCAGAGCGTAAGGAACGGGTCTTGCCTTCATGAATTTCGGGCGAGCTCCTTCCTTCAGGTAGAGATGTACGGGGGGCCCCTCGATGGCTCCTAGACCGGGCTCGAACAGGTCCTGGAAGTCGCTCAGCAGGGATTCCAAATCCTGGTGGTCTCGGTGAGCGGAAACAGAGGCCACTTCTGCGCCAAGCAAGTTCAACTTGTTGATTACATCCCGGCCACAAAGGCTGGGTCCAAGGCAATCCAACACCACCAGGTTTGCAGGAACCGTGCGGCCCTGGAAAGCAACGTCCAGATGCAGCTCTCCTAAGATGGGCAATTTCCCGAGATAACAATTCAGTCTCAGTTCACTTTTTGCAAGGCTAGGCCAGCGGTTTCGGCACTGAAGATACACGTTCCGAGGAATGACGCAGACAGGAGAGCCAGTGTCTATTTCCATGCTGACGTCAATGCCTCCCCAGCAAAGCTTCTTCCTGACTGGTTGAACGAAACAGACCGTTGCAGCTTGCGACTTGATTGCGTACACCGACGAAATGCACAAGTCATCATCTTCTGCTGACGCGTCCGCCAACAACGACGACATCTGTTCCTTATCAGGTTTCCCGCTTCGCTCCCGATACCCCGTAGCTCGACACTTTCTGGCTAGGTGCCCTTGCTTTCCACAGCGAAAACACGTTTTCGTTTTGTGGCCGCAGTTTTCCCCGGTGTGTGATGAACTTCCACAGCGACCACACGCTGCTACCGAAAGGTGCTTCTCCCGCCCGTACACATTTCTTGACGGCTGTTTCACCATTTTGTGTATGGCCCCTTCCTTCGTTTCTGGCCTTTGCATTTGTTCTACTTCGGAATCAGCTGCTTCCGCTGCGGCTGCTACTTCTTCCGCCTCATTCAACGTAAGGTCCCGCCGTGACAGCAACCTTCGCTGGACGTCTCTACTTCTCACACCGCACACAATTCGATCCCGTAGCATCCGGTCAAGGCTCATGCCAAAGTTGCAGTTTTCCGCAATTTTGCGGATCTGCACAACGAACTCTCGTACGCTCTCAGTTGGTTGTTGCACGCGGTTGAAAAATTTATAGCTCTCGGCTATTTCATTGCGCTTAGGCGCGTAGTGCTGCTCTAGGAATTTTACAGCTTCTTCATACGATAACTCGTTCACCTTTCCCGGGGCACAGCTACCACTTAAGACTTCTATCGTATGCGTGCCGAGTGCCGAAACTAGCAGCGCTCTCTTGGTCTTTCCACTGGCAATAGCATTTCCCTCGAAGTATGCTTCAACGCGTACGATGTAGGAGTCCCACTTATCTCTGCTGTCGTCGAAGGCAGGCACTTGAAAGCTGGTCGGCGTCGCCATTGCCCCCGTCTCGGATCTTGAGCAGCCCTTGCCTCCTGCCCGGCGGAGTTCGGCGCCTCGTCGCCACTGTTGTCACTTGGACATCTCGCAGTATGACAGAACCGCGAGGACCAAACAGACAGGCCGGCTACCAGGGTATGAACGGTTTATTTCGGGCCCGCGTGGAACTATATATAGCGCTCCACGGACCAATGGCAACGCAGTTAATAAAACAAACAAAAGGCGGATAACAGTAAGTCATGCTTCGGTGACTCGGCCGAAGTGATAACAGTAGATATCTTCTTTGATGGTCATGGGACAGAAGATTTATTGGAGGGCTTAAGTGCTTCAAATGCTGCTGGCGCTTAGTGTACACCGGCTGCTTTACTGAAATCCTGCGCACGATCAATGTCCCCCTATTTAGAAATACTTTTCACGAAATCACTGAATTATTGCTTGGAAGATAGCGTTTATAGTCCCAGTCAGTAAATCGGGGCTTCGCAACAGTGTCTCTAATTTCCGTTCCATTTCATTAACTGCCGTTTGCTGCAAAATTCTTGAACACATCCTGTACACGTCTATTTCCAAACACATGCATATTCATTCTTTTTTTAATCAGAAACAGCATGTCTTTCGAAACGGGTTGTCCTGCGTCACGCAATTAACGGAATTTTCTTACGATATAACTGAAGCGCTGATAGCCGTTGAACACTCGACTGTATTTTCTTGGATTTCAAAAAAGCTGTCGATGTGGCACCTCACTCGTTATTAGTTTGAAAACTGTTGCGTTATAATATCAACCCTCGTGTTATCTCCTGGGTTTCCGAATATTTACGCGCTAGATGTCAGTACGTGTTGTAGATAGCACGAAATTGAGTATTTTTCACGTAACATCCGGGGTTCCGCAAGGGTCGGTTCTGGAACCTTTACTCTTCCTACTTTATATAAATGATATCTCGGAGTCCGTTATATCAGGTATGCGAATATTTGCAGACGATTGCGTGTGATATAGCAAGTTAATTGTAAATTTGATAGTCTTATCCTTCAAAAAGACTTAAATGCAATACAAACTTGGTGTGAAAAATGTCAGATGAATCTTAATTTGGATAAAACTGTGTACATGACATTTTCCAGAAGAAAAACCTTCAGTGAATTCCGTTAGGAGATAAACAATATTATTTTAAAAGTGGTTTCTGAGTTTAAGTATTTAGGCGTGTTTATCTACACATTCATTACATTGGAGTCGATAGGTGGATTGTTCTGTGGCAAAGGCTTCAAAATCTTCGGGTTTTCTTCGCAGAAATACGCGTAACTTTCCTCAAGTCACCCCGGAGCTGTTGTATAAAACAAATGTGTTATCTATTTTAAAAGATGCCTGCACTGTGTGGGACCCGCCGACTATCACTGATAGAGATAAACTAGAAAGGGCGAAAAATTTTGCGGCCCGCTATGTATTGGGAAGGACAGTAAAAGATAGAGATTTTAGTGTGTCACGTGCAAAACAGACTCTACCATGGGATACACTCAAATACCGCAGAGAAAAGCTTCGCTTGAAGTTTTTTCACAGTATATATAATTCCCAAACCGGAATTCCACGTGACACATATCTTTATTCACCTTATTATCAATCCTCACGAGTGGATCACGTTCACAAGGTTCGCGAGTACAGATGTAGAACTGCAGTTTTTAGTAGTGAGTTTTTCCTGAAAACAATTTGCCAGTGGCAATGGTTACCTTCTGCCGTAGTATCAATTTTGTCAAACGATGCGTTTCATTCTGCCCTGGAATCAGTCAAGTTGCTGAAATAAAAGTTATGCAATGTGTGTTGCGGATTCGAGATCTGATCTACATAAACAATCCTGCCGTCATTTGTTGATATATAGTGATAATTTGTGTTGCCAAGTTGTGATTTGCTTCTATGTATATAAATACCCTCGCCGTCATTTAACCCAACTGTACTTCAAAAGAAGCCTGCTTGTGTGTATTGAAGTAATGTCTGGGGAATGTAACCCCCCGCTGTAATGCCAAAAGGTGCTGCGGGTATTGGATAAATAAATAAAAAAGCAAGCACATTTTGTCGCCGACTCACCGGCGAAGCAAGTGCATATACTCGCACCGCCACGATATGCGGCATCGGCGCCTGGCAGCATTAAAATGTATTTCCCTGTATTGAAATTCAAGTGGATAACATTGCGAAAAATATTTGGAGACAAGCATGATTGACTGGCTTATTGCACACACAGCGCTAAAAAAAGGATTCACACTTTGGCGCCAGCGGTTGACGTTCGAACCCACGCTGCCTGAATTCTTCGTACTTCTCGCCGCACTCCAGCCGGCACTGTCTTCACTCTCTTCACCGTAATCTTCAAGCACCGCGGCTTTTTTCGCCTGCGGTATTATCACTTGGACAACGTGGCTGTTTCCATTCCGGGAAAGTGGCAACGACACCAACGACGACGCCCTGGCAGCAGCGCGCAGCACGAACCTGCGATTCATTCACACTTTAGCGGCAGCGGTTGACGTTCGAACCCAAGCTGCCTGAATTCTTCGTACTTGTCGCAGGTTAGTTTATTTTTGTGTACTATTTCTGCATTCCGCCGCTGCTGCCAAAGAGTTTGCTAGAAGTACTTATTTGTCGTATTTTAGATTTATTTCTACGTAAAGAGCATGAACCTTTGCAATGTATGTCATGAATAGCCAGACGGGGAGAAGTGTCCCTTGTCGTGCTGCGAATGCGAACCGTATTTTCATTTGGGTGTGTGCTCGGGAATCGTGGCATCTGTGTTAAGAAAAAAAAAGAGTTAAAAATGAGCTGGAAATGCTCAGAGTGTACAGCAGCAAGGACAAGGTCAGAAAGCAAGAGCGTAAAACAAAGATCAGAGAAGAACATGTCAATCTTGCTCGCTGAAATGAACCGAAAACTTGACAGTTTGCTGTCACTGAAAACAGCAGTAGAAAGCATTGAGCATTCAGTTCGGATGCTCTCTGACCTGTACGGTGAAGTCTTGAAGCGCCTAAATGTCCAAGGGAACGATATTAATGGCCTAAAAAAGCGAGTTGACCAAACTGAAAGGGCGGGGACGGAGGAAGAAGTGCAGGACCTGAAATCGCAGCTAAACGATCTCGAGTGGCGCAGCCGAAGACAGAACCTCGGGATTCACGGTGTGTGCGAGACGAAAAGGGAGGACCTTTTGAGCTACGTAAGCGCTGTGGCGGCGACAGTTGGTGTCGATGAGCTAAAATACGAAGTCTTGGCGGTGCACAGATTACCTGCTAAGCCAGGGAATACGAAAGGTATTATAGTGCGCTTTGCTCGGCAAGAAACCAGAGAGCTCTGGTTGAGCAAAAAGCGGGCTTTGAACAGGGCTTCTGGCACTGGACACCTGTATATTGCCGAGAACATGACGAGACAAGGAAGGGATCTGCTTTCGCAGGTGAAAGACCGGGCAAGAGTGAAACATTATCAGTTCGTCTGGTACAGGAACGGAAAAGTGTATGCTCGACAGGGGGAGGGGGCGCAGGCCCACGTAATCTCATGCGAAGCTGACTTGCGTGTGCTGGGACGTTAGGTGACCTTATCGGGTGAATATTTCTTAGTGTTTCGTTTTTACAATGGGCATTGCACCCATTGACTTTGCAAACTTTGCTGCTTCAAAGCAACCTCTTGGTTTATCGTTTTTCTACTTAAACACTCGGTCTGTGAAATCTAAAGTTGATGACCTCGGTATACTTTTTGACTGTCTTGGTTTTTCTTATGATATCATTATGCTGTCAGAAACTTGGTATAAAGATGACTCGAATGTTTTTAGTCTGCCACAGTAGAGACATTACTCGCTTTGCCGTGAAGAGAAGAGAGGGGGTGTGGTATCTTTGCAATACAAAATGGTTTAGAGTGTGAACTGATATCTGAATTCACCCAAGTTACTGAAGATTATGAGCTGTTGTGTGTACGTTACAGGGAATATCTTTTCGCCGTTGTGTATCGCCCACTATCCGGAAATGTATCCAAGTTTATTGATTTCTTTGATATATTTTGCAACTTTACAACAGTGAACCGCTGTGTCCTTGTTCTCGGTAGTGATTACAATATTAACATGCTTGTAAACACAACAGCGCGAGAGGCCTTCATGCAGGCGATTGATATA